AGGTAAGGTGATATAATATTTAGATATATTTTAGAAAACAGGTTTTAATACAGAGATTTGAAAACACAATTGTATGCTGGGTTGTTCGAGGGAAGGTTCATCAGCTTCCATGTACAAAATGTCGACAGGAGAGGTAGTAAAGAAAAAATCTGTAAAGACTTTTAACAATTCGAGAGCCTTTAGGCACTTTGCCTTTAAAGATATTTGATGTGTGTTAAGTATGTTGGCTGACGGTAAAAAATGAGGCCCAGGAATTTGGCCTCTTCCACTACCTTGATAGGAGTAACATCTTAAAATAAATCATGAACTTTATGCAGTTTGTATTTGTAACAAAAGTGAATGCAATTAGTTTTTGACTTAGAAAACTTGAAGCCATTTGCATTGGCCTATGTTTAAATATTGTTAAGACATAGTTGTAACTGTCTTTCTATTGTATGCATATTCTTACCACCACAAGAAATGTTGAACTCATCCATTAAAGGTGAACAATCATCACTATTGTTCAAGACTTTGGTGAAACTATTCATATCTATTCTATAAAGTATGACAGATAGGATGCTGCCTTGAGGGACGCCCTGATCTTGATCGAAATGATCAGACAGGGTAGAGCTTACTCATACTTGAAATTGTCTGTTGTTTAAAAGCGGTAATCTGCCCCTCAATCCAAATTCATGCAAATCTTTTGAAATACCTACATCCTATGCCTTCTCTAGGTCGAAAGAGATTGATACAATATGTTGTTTGTTGACACCAAATGGTCAATGGTACTTCTGTTTTTCCAGCAACCACACTGGATGTCACTTAGGAGGTTATTGGCCTCCAAGTACCATTTAGTATAGGGAGTGTCAAACAAATATTCTTATCATGCCTCCATGTCAGAATGATGAGATATCATCAGAACACGTGATCTTGATAAAATACTGTATCATGCATTGGAGGGAAATAAATTTCTAACTGGGAGAATAAATCCCTTATACCCCGCCATGAACAATACAGGCTGCACATTGATTTCTGAGAGGGAGAATAAATCCCTTATACTCCGCCATGAACAAGACAGGCTGCATGTGAATAAATCCCTTATACCAAGTTAACCTCAGCTCAATTAACTTCTTTGAGAGACATTTAGAAGATGGAGTACAAAGTAAGAATAAGATTTATGGATGACCAACTTCTTTATTACAATTAGGAGCGACGTTTCGGTGTAGGTTCCTACACCGTTATCAAGCAAGTGATGACGGTGTTAGAACCTACACCAAAACCTCGCTCCTAGTGGTATTAAAGAAGTTGTTCATCCATAAATTTTGTCCTTACTCAGCTCAGTTGACAGCTGTTTTCTATCAATTTTGAATTTGTCTTAATTCTTTTAGAAGGTCAACATGTCAGAAGGTTAATTTGTTGCAGCAGGATCAATCGGGGTACAGGTAGTTTTTTGTGTCCTACTGCTCGTGGAAAAAACATAACATGGTTATCTGATGTTGTTTCTTGTGATCTTTTCACAAAATTTGACTGGGTATACGAGAGGGAAATTCTTCTCATTTTATTTGTTTGTTTTGTAGGTTACAAATGTGTAAAATGTAACTTGATTCTAATGTAGCACATGGGGTCTTTAGGCCATGCCTCATGCATGCTCATACTGATGGTGGTCCAAGAAAACTGTAGGTCATCATGAAAAAGCGTAAAGTTATTATATGTTAACCATAACATGTTATAAGTGGGAAAAAACACTCGAATCTGTTAATTCTGGAATAAAAATCAACAGATTCTCATGGTTTCTCCATTACGTGTAACAGCTTCAAAACTGCCACTTTCTGTATTTTATAACATGAGGGCCTGATTACTAGAACAGCAGCAAAGCAGCTGCTTCATATATTGCTTCATAGTTAGTTTCACAGATTGCATCACATATAGTTTTATGAGAGTCATAACAACTTCTGAATGCTTTTGCTATCAGTTATCAAACCTTGTTAGGCCTAACATTTTACATCTATTACCTCATTCTCTCCAAATCAATCACAAAGGAATTCCATTACAATAAATTAATGACATGGGTAATTTACAATACATGTAACTGTTAATCAAAGAAATAAATTGATCAGTTGCCTGGCAACATCAAATCTCATTTATCGAATAAAGGACCTAAATGTTCAGATCGGATATTCTTCACATTAGAGAAAAGGCAATTTATTACAAAACAAATATGTTATGATTAATAATACTTCATAAACAATTTGGCATCTTGCAGACTTGAAGTTGCTTGAGAAGTTTCCTTGAAAAAATCCTTGTGGGCAGAGAACCCCAATTTGTTAAAACAGAATTTCAGAAAAGGACTTGGGAGACAAATAATGCTTAATGAGGGACTTAACGCAATGGCCTCAATTCTGTGGCTGGTGCTTGAACTCTGTGCTAGAGACATTGCAACCCAACTGCACACTATCTGATTCCCATTCTGGGGCTGCCACGGGAAGGCCGTGCTAGAGACATTGCAACCCAACTGCACACCATCTGACTCCCATTCTGGGGCTGGTGCAGAAGGCCATGCTAGAAACATTGCAACCCAACTGCACACCATCTGACTCCCATTCTGGGGCTGGTGCAGAAGGCCATGCTAGAGACATTGCAACCCAACTGCACACCATCTGACTCCCATTCTGGGGCTGGTGCAGAAAGGCCATGCTAGAGACATTGCAACCCAACTGCACACCATCTGACTCCCATTCTGGGGCTGGTGCAGAAAGGCCGTGCTAGAGACATTGCAACCCAACTGCACACCATCTGACTCCCATTCTGGGGCTGGTGCAGAAAGGCCATGCTAGAGACATTGCAACCCAACTGCACACCATCTGACTCCCATTCTGGGGCTGGTGCAGAAAGGCCGTGCTAGAGACATTGCAACCCAACTGCAATCCATCTGATTCCCATTCTGGGGCTGCCACGGGAAGGCCGTGCTAGAGACATTGCAACCCAACTGCACACCATCTGACTCCCATTCTGGGGCTGGTGCAGAAAGGCCGTGCTAGAGACATTGCAACCCAACTGCACACCATCTGACTCCCATTCTGGGGCTGGTGCAGAAAGGCCGTGCTAGAGACATTGCAACCCAACTGCACACCATCTGACTCCCATTCTGGGGCTGGTGCAGAAAGGCCATGCTAGAGACATTGCAACCCAACTGCACACCATCTGACTCCCATTCTGGGGCTGGTGCAGAAAGGCCATGCTAGAGACATTGCAACCCAACTGCACACCATCTGACTCCCATTCTGGGGCTGGTGCAGAAAGGCCGTGCTAGAGACTTTGCAACCCAACTGCACACCATCTGACTCCCATTCTGGGGCTGGTGCAGAAAGGCCGTGCTAGAGACATTGCAACCCAACTGCACACCATCTGACTCCCATTCTGGGGCTGGTGCAGAAAGGCCATGCTAGAGACATTGCAACCCAACTGCACACCATCTGACTCCCATTCTGGGGCTGGTGCAGAAAGGCCGTGCTAGAGACATTGCAACCCAACTGCACACCATCTGACTCCCATTCTGGGGCTGGTGCAGAAAGGCCATGCTAGAGACATTGCAACCCAACTGCACACCATCTGACTCCCATTCCGGGGCTGGTGCAGAAAGGCCATGCTAGAGACAATACAACCCAACTGCACACCATCTGACTCCCATTCTGGGGCTGCCACGGGAAGGCCATGCTAGAGACATTGCAACCCAACTGCACACCATCTGACTCCCATTCTGGGGCTGGTGCAGAAAGGCCATGCTAGAGACACTGCCATATGTCATATTTTCTGAATTTGACACATACGAAAACTTGTTAGTGTCTGACACTTGTTTGAATAAACAGAATCAACCTTTTCTAATGAATACCTAATGAAAATGAGAGTGTTAATGGAGACAAAACTATTGAAAGATAAACACGATTTTCAATCGCGCTGATTGAATGTTGATGCAATATCTATGACAACTATGCGAGAATATGGCAGAATCATGGCCCAGAATCATGGCCTAAGTCAATCTCTGATTATAGCGAGGTGCATGCACGTGTGTGTGTGTGTGGCTGCTTGTAGTTGTCCGGACTGCTGCTGATTTATAGTGCTAGCACACAGAGATACCATACCGCAGTTTAGCATGAATATCCCACTCAGACACAGTATACTGACTCCGAGCCAACCAGTCCTTATTTTATCCCATTTAATGCCGAGCATCAGACTGGGTAACAACAAGTACCATCTTTTAACGATTTTTGGTATGACCTGGCCGGGGATCAAACCCCGGACCTGCCATTCTCTGGGCAGACGCTCTACCTCTAGACCACGGAGACAGTCACCATGATATGAACAACAATAAATCTGGCAGTAGCCATTTTGGTTTTTGTGTGTCCATTGTCACATGATCAGTGACTGGAGCTGAAAGTCCTGTGTGAAACTGAGACATGGACCCTGTGTCATTAGGGTAATAAGCAGTGTGCAAAATAAGTGCTTGCCTGGTAGCCTGTGGCTGCTAAATTTGCCTTCGGTCTAAAAAACTGCATTGCAATTTATTGTGATACAGGTATCTGTATTACTATACGTCTTGCGATATATTGGGATTTGAGTGTTTGACAGTGACTGACACTGATTGTACATGCAGATCCTAATTTCTCTATTAATATTAACTCAGTATTGTCAGTTCACACCATTTTGTAGTCAAGGACATAGGGTAGTTATGAAAGTGAGAGAAAAATCATTCCCATGTTTCTGCCATTTTGTAATCAATTCTGAAAGTAAACATCTTTTGTGAATGAATTTCTGTGTAGATTTTAGGTTAAACAAAACAGATAAAAACAAAACTTATTATATTTCTTTTTACCCCATATACAGGAACAAGGAAATCTTATTGCAATACATATTGTTTAAAAAGCGTATTGCAACATCCTGGTATTACCCTACAGTCCTAGGGATCATCTACTTGGGAGTTATCTACTTGGGAGTTATCTCCCCCTGGACAACCTGACACTCACCTCTCTGTGGGTTGCCAATGTCGACAGCTTTTGTGCTGTCATTTTCCTTGCCTTCATCAGAGTCAGACACTATCGCTAGGGAGCTGTCTGTCTTATCTGTTGTTGATGTCACCAGCTGACTGTCAAGGGACCCAGACCGGAATCTGAAATGAGCATGAAACCATAATACACAAGCAAATCCATGGCAACCAACCAAAGAGTTACACATTGAGTATTCTGTATCATTTCAGCATTTACGAACAGGACACTTTTGTGGAGGTAGGTACTTGATGGATGGGTCAATACTGTCAAAATGTACAGTCCAATGAACCAAGTGAAGCACATGGCATCAAGGTTCTGGAGCTCACCTTTAGCAGCAAACAGTGCATAAAATTCATGTCGTAAATAAAATTGGTCAATGGTAAATATTACTGATTACTGTATTGTTTTCATGCTTTACATTGAGTAATGCACACATTCCATTAGATTACTTTTATTTGCCTTCCGTGAACAATACACATATGGGCTTCGAATTTAAAATGATGAAAAGACTTTTATTCATTGGAGTTTCAAGTTTTCATATTAATAACAAGACATATAAGTCATGATGTGGACATATGAGTCAATGCATGCCTTCAAGTTACTGTGAATTCCAAAGTTTCATTGACGTTTTTGAACAACACACGATTCAAGTTTCCATTGATTTCAAAGATGACCAGTATTAAAATGAGTCAGACTGGTGTTTCTAGTGCTGCCTGTGCATAAACATCCAAAGCTTTGAAACAAGAGGCATGCGACTCCAGTGTCAGTTTCACAAGCTGTTACTGTCAATTCCACTGAAAGCTTTCAGTATCACTGTATCACCCGATAGTGTCAACACTGGTTACAGAGACTACTGGATATATCCTCACAGTACAATGGCTGAAACTAAGCATCCTTGTCATAACACTAATGTTAAAAGTCAAGCATTTATGGTGTTTCCAGAATCCAATACAATAGCATCAGGTATTTATCTAGGATTCAAAACTAAAAGATCCCTTGCTGGCTCAAACAATCATTATCATAATTAAAGTAACTTACAAACACTAATTACAATACTGTCAACCAAACCAAATTTGCTATTTTCAATCCTCTTTGTATCAGGTAAAGCGTGTTTAGACTATTAGCATGACAAATGGTTTTCGGGCAAATATACAAGCATGGAATTATTATCGGGGTTCAACAAATGTATATTTCAGGGAGCTTACAGAAAAATAACTGGTACCATAGAAGATTTATGACTGAGGTGAGGTGAAATGGGGTTAAACATGCGTTGAAGATTATGGTACATGGGGGCATGCACATGTCAGTGTGTGTGTGTGTGTGGCTGCTTGTACTAGTTCGGGCTAATGCCTGCAAAATACCATGCCGCAGTTTAACATAGATATCCCACTCTGACACTGTGAGTATACTGACTGAGCCGACCAGTCGTTGTTATATCCCATTTAATGCCAAGTGCCATGCAGAATAACAATAAGTACGATTTATGAGTGAGTGAACAAATATTGCATTATGTCAGATTAACAATCTTGCAGCTTTCACAGTGACAGAAAATTTACAAAACTACAAACAGAATTTAATATTTTCTCAATTTTAAAAGTTTCTGTTAGTTGCTGTTTTTATAAAATGTTGGAAGAACTTTTCATATTTTCAACCAGCAAATGGGACAACCTTTTATAATTACTGTTCCTGATCTATATTGCTTGCATTTACCGGTGGACCAGCATATTTGTCACTGCCTAACTACCACCGAGTTTCTACAAGTTCTCATCTGTCTCAAGCATCCATGAACAAAGACATTTGGGTGATTCAATCTTCTGTTGCCCTCAATAGTTGGAATACAGCATGCATGGGCCACTCCTTGATTATGAATGTCAAGGCCACATGTGGCAGAGCAGAGTGGTGTTGTGACATATTCTTTCAAGCTACACTTTAAACACAAGCATGTTGTTGAGTAGTGAGGAATGCATGGGACAATGCACCAGCAATACATCAGCTTAACTTTTTATCACCACATTCCGCATATGATTGATAATAAATTGTTGACCTGGGAAGATCCAGGATAGAATAGGTCTTCAGCAACCCCTCTGCCGTAAAAGGCTACTATATTTGTCCGAAGTGGGGACTAACGGGATAGTCGCCTCTTACGACAAGCATAGTCACCTTTTATGGCAAGCATGGGTTGCTGAAAACGGGATAGTCGCCTCCTACGACAAGCATAGTCACCTTTTACGGCAAGCATGGGTTGCTGAAGACGTATTCTACCCCCGGATCTTCACAGTTCCTTTAGTAGTCAGAATCAGATAAGTTGATAGGTACTACTCAGGTCCTCAGGAACAAAATAGAAATATTTTCCAAAACATACAAAGTGTAACATTGTTCATTTCACACCAATACATTTCCTACACGATTGTTGTGTACACCCAAACCAGCAATATGCCAGCAATATCACAGCAACATACATAAATAAGTCTTGGCCTGACAAACCAGTGACTGACAGCATGGGCAAAGTATTCCATTTCCTTGAAATAGTCTCACAGAAAACACAAATTGCTATGAATCGTAGGAAAAGCAAATACAATATTTATACTGATAACTAGGATGTTGTGTGAGACGTGCCTCAACTTTAGCACTTCAATCAGCAAGGTCCTTACAAATCCCATAGCAACACCCACCACTTCCTGGAGAAAGAATCAAATGGGTTCCAGGTATGGTGTTATTGGCCAAGTTCCACAATATGCCCTGATGTTTCCATGGCAGCAACACTCAAATGTTTTATCTCTCTCTGATTTCATTGTCCATATTCATTAAGAATTCCCTGTCAACAAGGAAGATGGAAGGGCTCAGTATTCCTTTGCCATATAATATCACAGGAACAATCGGTGTTCTCATGTTCCTTTGTATTGTTGCCACAGAGCTGCATGCAACCATGGTATCTTTGTGGTTTCATTGCAGCCATTCAATTTTCGTGAGTTTCACAGCGACCTCATCCACACTGATACACAAGGAATTTTTAAATTGATTAGATATTAAAGCTTACCTCCTAAAGAAAAAAACACTTCACTTAATTTCATTACCACAAGATGAGTGCAAGATCATTCTGGCTTGTCCCCAAGTCAATAAATATATCAACAGAAAATGAGACAATTGAATGTTAAAAAGCGTAGAAATCTGATTATTATTTCATTGTGTCTGGACATTTACTTATTTATTTACAAATTTACTTCCCATACAAGATGACATTTACATCTGTCACATCGGATATATTTATAACTATCAAATATTTCAGATAAAATCTTCCTACACATTTTTCATGATGTATGCATGCCCTTAAGCAATGACCTACATGATAAGCTCATTCACCTTTGCCCTTAGCTCTCTAAGTACAGGCTGAACAGAATTTTAGTAACCTAATTTTTAAGTGTCTTTGCAGTAACCTGTAGCAGTCCATACAGTGACCTGTAGCATTCCATACAGTAACCTGTAGTAGTCCATACCGTAACCTGTAGTAGTCCATATCATAACCTGTAGTAGTCCATACAGTAACCTGTAACATTCCATACAGTTACCTGTAGTAGTCCATACAGTAACCGGTAGTAGTCCATACAGTAACCTGTAACATTCCATACAGTAACCTGTAGTAGTCCATACAGTAACCTGTAATATTCCATACCGTAACCTGTAGTAGTCCATACAGTAACCTGTAGTAGTCCATACAGTAACCTGTAACAGTACATACAGTTACCTGTAGTAGTCCATACAGTAACCTGTAGTAGTCCATACAGTAACCTGTAACATTCCATACAGTAACCTGTAGTAGTCCATACAGTAACCTGTAATATTCCATACCGTAACCTGTAGTAGTCCATACAGTAACCTGTAGTAGTCCATACAGTAACCTGTAGTAGTCCATACAGTAACCAGTAGTTGTCCATACAGTAACCTGTAGTAGTCCATACAGTAACCTGTAGTAGTCCATACAGTAACCTGTAGTAGTCCATACAGTAACCAGTAGTAGTCCATACAGTAACCAGTAGTAGTCCATACAATAACCTGTAGCAGTCCATACAGTAACCTGTAGCAGTACATACAGTAACCAGTAGTAGTCCATACAGTAACCAGTAGTAGTCCATACAGTAACCATGGTAACCTGTAGTAGTCCATACAGTAACCTGTAGTAGTCCATACAGTAACCTGTAGCAGTACATACAGTAACCATGGTAACCTGTAGTAGTCCACACAGTAACCTGTAACATTCCATACAGTAACCTGTAGTAGTCCATACAGTAACCTGTAATATTCCATACCGTAACCTGTAGTAGTCCATACAGTAACCTGTAGTAGTCCATACAGTAACCTGTAATATTCCATACCGTAACCTGTAGTAGTCCATACAGTAACCAGTAGTAGTCCATACAGTAACCTGTAATATTCCATACCGTAACCTGTAGTAGTCCATACAGTAACCTGTAATAGTCCATACCGTAACCTGTAGTAGTCCATACAGTAACCTGTAGTCCATACAGTAACCTGTAATATTCCATACCGTAACCTGTAGTAGTCCATACAGTAACCTGTAACATTCCATACAGTAACCTGTAGTAGTCCATACAGTAACCTGTAATATTCCATACCGTAACCTGTAGTAGTCCATACCGTAACCAGTAGTCGTCCATACAGTAACCTGTAGTAGTCCATACAGTAATCAGTAGTAGTCCATACAGTAACCAGTAGTAGTCCATACAGTAACCATGGTAACCTGTAGTAGTCCATACAGTAACCAGTAGTAGTCCATACAGTAACCTGTAGTAGTCCATACCGTAACCTGTGGTAGTCCATACAGTAACGTCCATACCATAACCTGTAGTAGTCGTTAGCACATTGGTATATTGGTATATCATGGTTACTTTTTTACGTACGAAACTGTTTGAAATGTCAACCAATCAGCGATTGCGACATGAAGGCTTCTTTCAATCTTGCTATGTTTGATCTTGAAAACAACACAGCGACATACAGAAAATCAAACAACAACATTATGACTTTTTGAGGAGAATCCATTATCTGATTTGAAGACATCAGGTACTCAATGTAATCTGATGGAGGTTGCTGTAAAAATGGGTGAGTGTGACCTGCTGATCATATACAATGATAACCAGGGACACAGAGAGAGAGAGAGGGGTGTTTTGGGGGAATAAACTGTCCATTATACACAAGAGAAATATGGCACTTTATCCTGATAAAATTCTTTTTTATTAACTGACAGTCATAATCACAGCATATGTTGAGTTCACAACCAATATTACTCTCAACCTCAAGTGCATCCACTACATACCAGTGTAGTCTCTGCCTCACGCTCACAAACACTACCCACATTAGTGGCACAAATTATTGAAAGAGGAAATAAATGTTATTGTAATATTGTAACATTGCCTTAGGCTTTTGCACGGACCCTAGCTGTCTGGACTAACTTTTTAACAAGACTAATTTGACTTGCCAGTCTGGCTGGCTGGCTGGCTGGCTGGAATGTATCTGAATATTAAACACAGCAAAGTGATATCATACTCGGAATTCTTCAGTGATATGTTGATCAATGAGAAATTCACTGCATTTTGGGGTCCTTTTTGTTTTTGTTTCTGCAAATTTGTACAGTTAACAGTTTTCTCTTCTTTAATAGAATGACTTAGCAATTTCAGTAATTTCTTATCACAAACACAGCTGAGAGAAGCTCACTCACCCAGTCAGGGGAATCTCATCAGTGGCAAGAGTGTCCGAAAGATGGACAAAATGAGATTTCAAACTTCCTGTCTGATGCCATGCACATTTCTCTGGCCAAGGTACTTCACAATGGATGTCTAGTGGTTCAGACGATTCATACGAAGCATCAGAACTGTCAAGGCTCACCGATCGATGATACTTCATGTCCATTGAGTCCCGATGAAATTTGTTCCTTCTTGCTGAAAATTTGCTCGTCATTGAGCTCCATTTATGATGACTGTGCATTTCTGAAGGTTTACCTTTTTCCTTAATCTACATCAATAATTGCATGAAATGAAGAAGGTTACTCATGATCCACATATACCATTGATGACCTTGTCATAGTTACAATATTTGTAGTTGTTGTAGTTATTCAACATCATGGTCGCATTGAAACAACAGTATACAATGTTGAGCTCAAGAACTAAAAACTGTCTATCTTTAAAAAGTTGATAGATCCGGAATGTCTCTTTTCTCAAACTTTTAGAAGAAATATCCAAAATAATTTTCAAAGTTACTTCTTAAAAAATGACTAGAAAATTTTGAATAACATACTGAAGTTCAAAGATAATTTTTAAAGTAACACTAATGTAACACTAAAGTCACACAACACTAATGATCATGTGTGTAAACTTGATAGTCTACAACTACAGTATGGTTAAAGCACACTGTCTGCTCAAGGAGTATCCTAACTATAATGTCTTGCAGTCACATATTCCAACAATGAAATTCACGTCCCATGAAATCAAGAAGTTGCCACTCAAAATCGGTTGTCTGAGTTTCAATCCCTGATCAAGCTACAACATCCATATGTTGGCTGCACATTGCACATGTAACGTGAACCAGGCAGGACTTTCCAAACACCCAATCCAGCCTGCAGACATCTATCCTTCAAACTGCATCGCACGTCGCGACGACTGACACCTGTCATGACACCAACTGGCGCAGTTGATTCAACCTGGGGCACAGCGAGCTTCTCCGAAACACCGAACCTCTGAACCTAGCAGGCTACACTCAACAGGCCCGGCCCTACTTCAGCAATAACTTATGACATAAACCATTAAAACTGAAAAAAACACTGGGTCTTTCTTTGAAAAGTGGCAATAAACAAAGTTTACCTGAAATGTGGGCCAAATCAACAATAGCCGTGAGCATTCAACATGCCCTGTGGTTTAATGACATTATCAGAATGCCAAGTAGATCATCTTAATGAGTTCTGACAAAACTCAACGGCTCCAATCTGAAGAAATGTACTCATAAATTGGGCTGTGATTTCAATTTTCTTGTTGAATGGGAATTCGAAAGTCAGTGTTACTGTTTAATGGATGAGAGGTCAACAAGGTAAGATTTTTGTTTCTCACATCTTGTTAACAAAGAGAACTGGAGGAAATAGTTAACATTATTATTGAAAATAATCAAATGCAGTAATTTGCTATATATCAGTAAAGCACAACTTTTAGTAGTTGTGAACTTGAAAGGATTTGATTCAAACATTTCGTACGTGTTTCCTTCACTCATACAATGGTTATTCTACTATATGACCTAAAAAGTTGTAGAAATGTTTTTTACAGCCAAATCATTCCTTCTCACAGTAGGTAGGAGCCAGTCGGGTAGCTTAGTGGTTAAAGCGTTCGCTCGTCACGCCGAAGACCTGGGTTCGATTCCTGTCATGGGTACAATGTGTAAAGCCCATATCTGGTGTCCCCCGCCGTGATATTGGTTGAATATTGCTAAAAGTGGCGTAAAACAATACTCACTCACTTGCTCTTACAGCAGGTATTATTTATAAAGTGTGTGAGAGAGCTTGGGTTCAATGCTGCTTAGGAATGTTGAATAGTTCTGTATCAGCTACATAGCAGCATATTCTCTGGCAAGCCCATGAGCATGGGGGAGGTGCTAGTCAAGGATCATGAGGCTGCTTAAAAACATACAAATGTTTCTTGTGCATATTGTTTTCAAGAGTGAGGAAGGCAGCAGGATTTCATTTTGTTTTTTAATTGAAAACAGATTTGATGCAGGAAGATCACTTTTCCTTTTTCCCCCACTAAGAATACCAAGAAACACAACTGTGCACAAAATCAGCTCAGCCCTTCAAAACAATGTCAGTGGACAAGCATTTTAAGTTATGGATAACAGAGTGTGCTTCACTAAACATGTTAAAGCGGGAATTTGAAAATTATATTTTTTATTGGCAATTTTTTTTATTAATGTGCAGGATAAATGTACGTACCAATGCCCAAGAAACATTTCCTTCTTTAGTCTCACAGGGTAAAATCTGGATTCAAACTAAGTGTATTCTGGCACAGGTAAGGGATGCAACTATGTACAGCTAATTGCAGCACTAATTGCCCCCTGGCTCTATGATTTGCAGAAATCATATGACATACTATCTCGGTCAATTTCTGAGAAATTTCTGACGACAGCTCGTTAAAGTCTGCTCACCTGTTCTAACACACAGACTCAGTACTCATATATGTTCAATTGTTAGAAGACGAAGATGCACTTATTAGGATGCAAATGATTGCGGGCCTCAGGGTTCTTGATGTGTTCAGTGCTTTGTGATCCAAAGACAGATTAACCACAGTCAGATCCATCAAGTGCAGCGCAATCAGTGATTTTTCTATGCAGTGTGGGTAAAATTGGGTAAAATGTGTGAGAAAATGTCTGAATTTTCTTTTCAGCTGAAGTAGCAATGTTCCCGTAAACAAGTGTTCAATTGTGTGACCATTGATGCTAATTTGTGTGAAAGTGAGCGAATGTTGTTTTATCTTGTATGTCATCAGCAATATTCTAGCTTTACCACCTAAAACATTTGAGTTTTCCAAGGTAAACCAGTGGTTGAGAGAATCATCCAAGAAACACATTTTGTACAAGAAAATCATCATGATCATATTGGTCATGTTAGTTGAACCCTTACCTCAAGGACGAGGTACAGGACAATATACTGTATCGTCATTGCTTTGCAAGTATTCTTTGATATGATCTACGCTCCTGGAGAACTGCTGGAAGATGTATTGACTGACAATTACATGCTGACATGAAGCACCATCAGTCACTGTGGTGAGAGGAACAGGAACAGATGGAGGAGGGATGAGGGAGGAGATGCATCTCACTGCAATGGGCAGTTATATGCAGTGGGGTGCTTATTAGGTTGACAACAGTGAGCAATGACAGAAAGAGTGACTGGGTGAAGTTGGTTTAACGCCGCTTTGAACAGTATTTCAGTTATAATACAGTATGTCTGTTTAATGTTGGAAGAAAGTTTGAAATGATGCAGGTATTACATTTCGGGCTCTGATGGTTTGACAGAAATAGATTAGAGTCCCCACTTCTCAAACCTGACCAAGGCTCTAGAACCTGATTTCAAGGGTAATATGCAACACAATCAACATTTTGTCTTCTACTTTGTATCATCATCTAAGTTAAAATGTGTTCTGTGCTGTTTCTCTTCCATGAAGTCCTTGTGTGTGTGCTAGTCTGGATGGTTTAATAGTGCTAGTCCACTGAGATGGCAATTGCCATGCTGCAGTTTCACATGGATACCCAACTAAGATACTGGTACAGTATCTTCCTCAAAGCTAACAAGTCCTTGTTTTATCCCCTTAATGCCACGTGCTAGGCAGAGTAAAATCAAGTACCATCTTTCAACGTCTCTTCTTACGAAGTGGCCAGGATCAAACCACTGACCTTTCTCCTTACAGGCAGAGGCTCTATCCACTAGATAGGGCAGAGGCTCTATCCACTAGATAGAGCAGAGGCTCTATCCACTAGATAGGGCAGAGGCTCTATCCACTAGATAGGGCAGAGGCTCTATCCACTAGATAGGGCAGAGGCTCTATCCACTAGATAGGGCAGAGGCTCTATCCACTAGATAGGGCAGAGGCTCTATCCACTAGATAGGGCAGAGGCTCTATCCACTAGATAGAATCAAGAATCATGAAAAAGGCAAATCAGGGTTTCCAACCTTAGTTGGCATCATGGTACTCCTGAGGGATGCAACTCGGCAGAGATTTGTGCCCTTTAGACAATTGGGTCCTCTGTGCCCTGACAGAAGGAAAGAGACACATCTGCGATAACTACCCCAGAGCAAAGTATGCTTGTGGATCTAAAATTCAGATTTTTAGAAAAACAACAACATTTCAACATTTAAATTATGACAGCATGACGTCAAACCAAAAAGCCAGCCTTATGTTAATATGATGTAAACTGTCTTGGGAAAACACTGTCAGTTTGTAGTTATTAATGATATTGAAATAGGGTATAGGCTGCCTGTATGACAGTTGTGATAATGGTTACTGCTGACATTAAAGAGTGAATGTCATTTGAAAATATTCAGAAACTTCACTCTCCAACTTGAGTTTTATTGCCATACTCAGACGCACTCTTCAATATGCAGAGGATGCACGGATGTATTCAGCAACATTATGCAGTTTGATTCAGCTGCATGTTGCACTGTTATTTTAGGTTTGGTTGGTTAACTCCGTCTTTTGATGAAGCCTCCAACCCATCATCATTCTTATTCATTCCCAGGCCATACAGTCAAGCAGTCGAATACAAATGCATGGTTGTGTCCTTTATCATGATTATAGGAGAGATACATACATTTACAAAAAACATATTTCATCCATCTCTTCCAAAAAGGCATAACCAACCACAAGCACACTTTCAATTTAGACTCAAAGTAATAATTACTGTTCAGATTTGGATGATACATAAATGAAGTCTTCAAAAACATAAAACTTTTTAGATTTTACCAACAACAAAAAAATTGCTCCTCTGAATCAGGAGTTTTTAATCAACACAGGCATAACCTTTCAGTTGAGTTAACAACACTGGGCATCTTTAATGCCTTCAGAGGTTTGAGCAAGGAATAATTTTGTAAGGTTTTGTTTTATCACAGCCGGGCCTGCCAAGATCTGAATGCTAAATCACTGGGGTAAGTTGACCTCTGCACCCCACCACTGTCTTTTGTATTCAAACATGATTTATAGAAATTCTTCTGTTGTGTTGACGGTATCCCAGGAACGGCTGACCTTCACCTCCCAAAGAAACCCAAAGGAACATACATTCTGTTGCTTATCTCAGTGTTGGTACAGTGGGATTATTCAACCTACAGTTCAACATTAAATGGCAAATGATAAAAAAACAATGATTTGGCACTTATTCATGCTAAGGTGTGTCAGCTATATGACGGCGGTCTGTAAATAATCGAGTCTGGACCAGACAATCCAGTGACTGATATCATGAGCATCGATCCACACAATTGGGATCGATGACATGCATCTACCAAGTCAGTGAGCCTGACCACCAGATCCCGTTAGTCGCCTCTTACGACAACCATAGTCAGCCTTTACGCCAAGCATGGGTTGCTGATGACCTATTGTGACCCTGGATCTTCACGGGTCATTCGTGTTACCAATGCTCAAGTACAGTGCTTACAGTTGAATGGTGGTCTCTGCTAACACCCCGCAAATAATTAACAGTGTTCAAATTTTATGTTTTAATTTCCTTTTCTGTGTGCAGCCAGCAATGACATTAATTGTCAACAAAACAGTCGGAAGCAAAGTAAGCTTGATTCATCTGCTACTACATCAAGAAGTTTTCCTATTCACTGCTCTGTTCATCTCAAAGAGTTTTATTGAAGGTAGGGGGTCAGCGAACCCCCATCGGTACTAGATCCAACTTGTAAAGGTCACTGCTCTCTTGGCCATCTAATCATAATCCTTCACCTCAATAAGTGGACCTGGCCAACATCCAGACCAATCTGTAGATTACATAAATCTTATAGGTCCCTGCATTTTCTTGAGCATATTACAGATTTTTAGAGTAAACACAGCACTGTAGATTGGGTATGTAACTGCTTTTAAAAAATGTTTTAGTTTCACGGAGGTTTGAGCCAAGTCTCTATCGCCTGATCTCTGACAACA